GACTGGACATTTCCACAATCATTTCACCCTTGGTACATCTGAACATCCATCCATTCATCCATTATCTATACACCACTTAATCCATACTCGGGTCGCGCGGGGGGGGCTGGAGCCCAGTCCTTATCCAAGCTGACTTAGCCCTAACCCTAGCCTACAATTCGGCCCTAACCCTAAACCCTCTCTTATTCTGACCCTAATCCTAACCCTAGTGGCCAGTGCATTTCCCTGTTCTTCTTACCCCAAGCTGCTTTGTCGTCGGACACGACAGGGGAAGTTACCAAGACAAATTTCAAAAACCTAACCTCAACCTGACCTAACCCCTTTACCTTAACAAATCCTCGAAATATTCTCAATATAAACAACCCCTCCCCCACCCTCACCTACTCCCCTAAAAACCCCCTCCCCACCTCTTCTCCTAACGCCTAACCTCCTCTCTATCCCTCTCCTCCACCTCGTCCACATCCTACATCCTATCACCCGCCTCCTCTCAACCTGTGAACACCACCCGGATAGGATCCAACGGAAACCAGGAAAACAGAAACACCAACCCACGCACCCAAGGAAAACCTCCCCACCTTCACCTACTTCATCACCTTCGCCTACACAAACTACAACGCAACTCCATTACTAGCAAAGAAATCAAAAAAGAAACCAAAAACGAGATAAACAATGATCTCAAAAACACAAACCCAAATTAACTGACCTTCTCTTCTTAAACTAAAAACATTAGAAACCTAACACCCAAGAGGTTAACAAGACGACACTAACCTACAACAAGGTGAACAGATAGCATTGACAATGGCCAGTGCATTTCCTTTAACTTCCCACCCCAAAAAGCTTTGTCGTCGGACACGGCAGGGGAAGTTATCGAGACAAATTTCCAAAAACCTAACCCGAATACGCCTAGCCCTAATTCGGACCTTGGCTCCAAATCTAACCCTAATTCGGCCCTACCTACCCGCCATCCCATGTGCCCTAGTGGCCTCAGCCCTGACCCTACCTAACTCTAACGAGGGACTACGGGTTCAGTTCAGGCCTGGCCCTGTGCGAGAGGTTCAGTTCAGGATGGACTCTGAAAACCAACCAACCCAATCCCAAATCCACTGGAACCCCCATTGGAGAAACGAACGAGGAGTCTTCGCTAATGGGGGGGGG